AGTAATGGTTTTTAAACACCTCAAAACCAGTCTAATTAAAAACCCCCCAAAACTAGTGAAAAAAAACCTCCCAAGCAAACCCTAAGAAAATCGAGGTTGTAAGATTACTTCTAATATTACCAACAGTAAATACTATGGTAGCATTTGGTTCAGGGTGATATAAGATTAATCCTATAATCTTTGTTTAATTTTCAAGATTAACTCATTTGGTTGTCAAGTAATAAAATATTACGTAATCTTTTATTGCAAAGTGTTTACTGTTTGTAATATTGGGGGTAATCAGATTACCTTCCCAAGGGGTGTTATTATAAGATTACCGAGGTAATCTTAATTTTGACCTTAGTTTGCCCTTAATAATTTATCATTTTGGACATATTTGCCCTCATATGTCTACCAAATAACAATTACCCAAACCCCTTACATTTGAGAATTTAGCTAAAACACCCCCGCCACAAAAAAGTTTAAAAGTTAACAAAATATCCCCAACCATCAAAGACCACCGCCGGCCGCTAGCCACCACCGCTGGCCGCCGGCGAAATTCGTCATATCGGCACAAGACCGGCATGATCTTGCCGGTCATGTGTCGATAAGGACGTTTTCGGCCATGGATTTGTGATCCATGGCTGGAAACGACCAGATCTGGTCGTTACACGGCCAAAGATGTGGCCGTGAAATGCCACATATTTGACCTTGAAAATGCCAGATTTTTTGCCATGAAATGGTCGCCATTTCACGGCCAAAGATCTGGTCTTTTCACGGCCAGATCTGTGGCCGTTTCACGGCCATATTAGCGGCCAGATCTAGCCGTGAAACAACCATATTCACGGCCAGATCTGGCAGGATTAGGCCTTATCGGCGTACGACCAGCCAGATCTGACTGGTTGTGCGCCATTACGGCATCTTCCGGTGGTGGTGGTGGCTGCTGGCAGTGGCTTGGGGTGAGTGGGGGTGATTTTATTATAAATTAAAGTTGTATATGGTTGGGGTGTTTTAGTAAAATTTTAAATATAGGGGGGTTAAAAGAAATAATTTAAAAAATAATAGAATAAAATAATAATAAAAATAATATTATATTATTATTTAAAAATGAGGGTAATTTAGCAATCTATATAACATACCCACTCATTTATCCTCCCAACCAAACATATTATTATAACATACCCATATATTTATTCCAACCCACCAAACACATTTTTCTAAAGATTCCCTAGTAATCTATCATTTCAATAATACAACATTTCTCAATAATATAACATTCCTTGAACCAAACGCACCCTATTGGTATTTGAAGATTACCGGAATCTTATATTATTTGACAATTAAATGTGGTAATTAAGTAATATAATATGATATAACTCCAGTAATCCCATATAACCCCAAACCAAACGCCCCTTATTATTTTTCAAGATTGATGATGGTGGGGGGTGTATATAACATAAGTTAAAGGAAATTTATGGTGTGTTATAAGAAAAAAAATAACTCTTTTGAAATATTAAAAAAATGAAATAAAGGGCATTTATAGAATTTATAGGGTGCCATAAGAACAAAATTTAATTTAAAACTTTGAAATTAGGTGTTTTAAGAAGTAAGGGTTTTTTAATCCGTCAGTGAAGTACCAACTCTTTTATTTTATGAAAGGTAAATGAATAGTTTAATAAGGATTTTTAAATCTTTTATTAAAACTTTTAGGGTCTGTCAATAATTTTTTTAAAGGAATAGATCCACTCATTACTATAAGCCTTTTAAAAATCATAAACAGCCCCTAAAAGGCCTGATTAACTATTCATTACCTTTCGTACCATTAAAAAAGTGGATCTATTAGCACCTTACTGACAGACTACAAAAATCTCACTTTTTAATAAATTTTATAATGGTAAATTTATGCTAACATTAAATTATTAAAATTAACTTTAATTTTCTATTCTTTACAAATACTTTTGACACCCTACTATTATTTGGTAAACCCTAAATTTTTTTTTTTTTTTTTTTATTCAAATCATTCTTAGGACAAAAAGTTAGTTTAACAAAGAGGAATAACATTTGCTTGCAATGGGATATACAGGGTTACAAACAATATAAACTATTATTATTTTTTTCTTTCAAAGTATTGGTTGTTATTTCAATTTATGTATTTTTTATTTTGTTTAACTGTATTATGGTTTTAAGATTATTTATAAGGATTTTTTTAGAACTTTCAATTTAATTATTTAAAATTTTATTTTAGGAATAACAATGGTGGAGGTACATAACACAAGTGAAAAAAAAAATGAAATATTAATTCTATTAAAATATAAAAAAATAGAACTAAAGACATTTATGGGGTGCTATATGAAGAAAATTTGACTTTAAAACTAGGAAATGGATTGTATTAAGAAATGAGACTTCTTTAGTCTATTATTAGGGTGCTAATAGCTCCACTCAACATAAAATTATCAATAACTCCTAAATAAATTACTTATTAAGTGAAATATCTAAAAAAAAATTATTATCATTCCAACAAAACTCAACCTAGAACTCGAATAGGCCTGACCAACCTTTGTAAAGCCCAAGCTTTTTCCCAGGCGAGCCATCCTTGATGGCTCGGGCCCAAGAATTTTATATCCCCATTTATGCCAACCTTCGTGCTAGGGTAGTTTTTTCACTTTTAAGATTTTAAAATATTTTATTAAATTATTAATTTAAATTGAATACTCGTTTTATTAAAAAAAAATAAAAATTAGAAGTTCAGTTATAATTAGGATTTTTTATATAATTAATATTTCATCAATAGCTTTTGATTTTTAAAAGCTCTAAGGGCCAATTTGGGCATGATTTAAAATGTTAAATTCTAAATTATTTATAATTTTGTACAAAATTAATGTTTTATAAGTATTTCTAAGGAGTTAATTGTTTTTTAGTCTACGTGGTTTTAGTTAACTAGTATTTATGGAAAAGCATTTCAAATACTTCTATTTTAGTCCTTTGACTCAATAAAAGGTTAATTGATTGTTAAAGTTATGTTTAGATGACAAAAAATCTCTCTTTTAAATTTATTAAAATTTTACTGAACATTTGTTTAAGAATATGTGTGTATATATACACACATTATGCATTACAAATTCAAATTAAGTAAACAAATTATAAATTAAAATAAAAAGCATATAATAAATAAAAATTAGAAATAATTATAAACATTACACATTAGACAATAAAAAGTAAAATAAAATGTTGAATTTGTAGTGTGTAATGTGTTTTTTTAATTTACTGTTGTTTGTGTAAGTAATTTTTCATTTTTTTAAAGGGGTATTATTGTTATTTTAATATAAATTTAACAATCAAATAATTTTTTGTTAAGTCAAAGGACTAAAACAATAGTATTTTGAATTAAGCAGTACCAAAATAATATTTGAAATGATTGTCCTTAAACACATGGACTAAAAAGGAATTAACTCTACTTCTAAGGGGTGTTTGATTCCGGGAATATTGTATTACTAGGATATTATATTGATGGGAATATAGATTACCTTGAAGATTACTAAGAATGTTATATTAATTATGTTTTGTTAGATTGTAATAAATTGGTGGTGGGTATAAATAATTAATAGGTTTGGTTAGGAGGAATAAAAGAATTATGAGAGAAGCCTTTTATTGAATTTCCTTTCTTTTTTAATATAATAATAATATATTATATTATTAACATATAAAATATTTTTATTATAGTATTGTTTAATATTATATTATTATTAAAATATATTAAACAATAACATTATGAATAATATAATATGGTTGATGGTTGTTGAAGATAGAGTTTTGTGTTGGATTGATGGTGATTAATGATGAGTTTTGTTTGTGTTGTTGTCGAAGATGTGTTTTGTGTTGGCTTTTTGGGGTGGTTGGTGGAGGTTTTTGAGGTGGGTTTTGTGGTAGGAGAGAAAAACATAAGATGGGGGAGAAAGGAGAGAAAAAAAAAGAGGAATATTGGGGGCAAATCATTGATAAAGGGGTATTTTCGTCTTTTAGTCTGTTTAGGGTAAATCATTAACAGAAAAGTTGGATGCCATTTGTGTTTTGATCTATTTTTTTTATTCATTTATGAAACTACTGGGGGCACAGTGGATTGAAAATGTCATAGTTGTCTGAAAAAACTTTCTGAAACTATAGGGGTCTAATTAATTTTTTCCCTTATTAAATAAAAGTTTTATTTCATTAAAATAAATAAATTTTCAAGTAAAAAACACTAATCATTGATACACTTATTATGGCATACACTCATTTATCCTTAAGTAATTATTAATTCAAGAAATAATTACATTCATCCTCTTGAGGTTTGGTATAATAACATTTTTTTTTTTGTTAAGATTTATAAAATAAAAAAAATTTATTTGTTAGTGGTCGTTAGGTCTTTTATTGTTATAAGTTAATAAATATTTATCGAATGTTTTCGAAGAGAGAAAAGTAAATCTAACATGATCTCTCGAGTTCGAGTTTTCACGATTAAGGATGATCACTAGAGTTCTTATCGGACTAGTAGCAGATCCAAAATTTTTTTTTAAGGTGGGCTAAAATAAAAACTAATTACATATTATTATTTTTGTTAGGGTGGGCTAAAATCCAAAAATTATATATATTAGTATTTTTAAAAAAAAATTGAGAGGCCCACCCAAAAGTGGGCTGGATCTGCCCTGTATTCGACCAATAATTGTAGGGTTTCAAGAGATTAATTGAGATACACGTAAGCGAACTCAGATACCCCGATCATAAAAAAAAAAATTATTTACCAAATTGTACTCCTATCTTTTATTTAACATCTAAAATTTAACGATAATTTATTATTATTATTTTATAATCCTTAAAAAAGGATTTTGTTATTCAATCATATATAGGGAGAAACATGTCATTAACCCTTTATCCAAGGATTCACGGTAAGTTAGCAATTTACGTACTCGAGTCTCTTTCTCTTACAGTGCACTGTGGAGCAGGAAATCCAGTCTCATCCTTTTTGTTTGCTCATTAGCGGCAACATTCATAGCAAAAATTCATATTACAAGAAACGAAAACAAAAACAATGTTGCAGCTTCAGTTTTTATCTTCTCGAACCCTAAACCCTAAGCTATGCCCATTTCACTCTTTATCAAATTCAAATTCGAGACCCAACAGTTTTACTTCCATCTCTTCAACTGAAAATTTCTTTAACATAAAAAAGAAGAAACTTTCAGTCAAATGCCGTCAATCAGAGTACTATGAGCAAAAGAGTTTTCCCAACCCTCCCAACAATTCTTCTTTTGCTTCACAATCTTCTACTGAAGTATCAGGTCACTTTTTTTTCTGCCTAAAGGAGCTAACTTTTGCCTTTGTATATTTAACTCAAATGCGTCAATGACCAATTGGATTCTAAAGTTTTCTAGTTTGATAGATTTTTTCTGAAATATAACGAAAGCTGCAAATAAATTGAGTTTTGAGTTAACTTTCTGGGCTTTTAGTGTGATTATTTTGATTAATTATGGTTTTATTTATCTATTTGTATGTATAGTTGGAGCATTGCAAGCGAAAGTTTATGTGGGTCATTCAATATACAAAGGGAAGGCAGCTCTTACAGTGGAACCTAAAGCACCGGAATTTGTGTCTTTAGATGTAATGTTGCTTTTGATTTTTGATTTTTGCTTTATTTCTTTTTTCATTTTCTAAATAGTTGGTTATTTAAGTTGTTCTATATTTTTTTATGGTCATGAAGCCATTTTAATAGTTAAGAGTTTTGACTGCTTTCCTTTTTATTGATGGCTGCAGTCAGGGGCATCTAAATTATCCAAGGATGGTTATGTGCTGCTACAGTTTGCTCCTGCGGCCGGTGTTCGGCAATATGATTGGAGTAGAAAGCAGGTACATGCCTATTACCTTTGTTTGGGGATGGAAAAAAGAAAATCATCGTAGAATAAATGGGATTTCCAGCCAACTCTGGACATGTTGAAATACCGTTTGAATTTACTTGAACAGAACCTTTAAAATGGTTGCTGTCATTTAGAGAAAGCAGTGGCAGTGCATATTTAAGCCAAAAGAGCATATCTATACTGAACTTTAAATGAATGAATGGAGTGTAATGGGTAAAAAAAATGAAGACATCCTTAATTTGAAACACTTTATGGTTTTACAGGCAGGCAATTATTTTTGATGGTCCACTATTCTCAAGTTGATCAGACCTCAATACTATTCAACCACAACTGGGTTTGATGGTTGAAGTAATGGATCAATATCTGAATTTGTTTGGACTTCTAGGGTTTAAAATTGTTGTAATAAATAAGTATCTTTACTTATTTTTAGGATATCAGTTTAGATCCTAAGCTGATTTTTTTTTTTGTTTTTTTTTTGTTTTTTTTAATGGGTATATTGTTACTAATCTGCATTAAATTGTGATTCCGACTTTTTCTTTCTAAAGACTACAGCAATTGGGCTTCATTAATTCTACTTTTATGCTCTAATGTTCATGTTGAGTGCTATTGACAGTTTGGGAATTCATTTGCCCAGAGAAAATTTCCCTTTTTATTGTCTTTTCTCCTGGCACTGACATAAAGCCACTAAAACCTTTCTTTATTAATATAGCTTGTCAAGAGTTTAAAATAATATATGCAAGAATGTTGATTTGTGTGAATACTTTCGTGGTTGTTTTGGCATGTCTCTAGGTATTCTCACTATCAGTGACAGAAATTGGAACTTTGGTTGGCCTTGGTGCAAGAGAATCGTGTGAATTTTTCCATGATCCCTTCAAAGGAAGAAGGTACCATCTACTTACTGAATTTGACATGGGGAGTAGAGTTGCACTTATGAAGTTGCTTATAAGTTTGTGCCGTTTGTTACAATTCAGAGTTTTTCTCTTGTTGCTTGAATGATCTGCTGCTTTGAACTTGTCTATGCTGCATGGAGGCCTAATTTTGTGAATGCAGTACCTTTATTTTAACTGACATAGTCTTTTCTTCCATTTCAAAATAAGTGATTTGAAGGCTGGGTTGGAGGGCTATTCAAAAAAATTATATTTATTTTTGTGCTAAAAATGGAACTGCCAACTGCCAAGCAATAATAGATCCTTTTGCTGTCCTACAATTGAGGAATTGAATATCATGTCATGCAGACTTAAATTATGTCTTCTTAAAGTGTCAAGCGCTCTGTATTTAACCCCATGGATGTACATTACTTTAGAAGTGTATCAACAATCTATTTGATTCCAAGATTATTTACACTTGGCTACCTTGTGAAGCTTGTTGTGCTTTCTAACCTTGGCCTTACCAATATGTTTATGCATGTTGATGCCAATGGGCTTGAAATTTGAAGCAACCCAGGCATTTTGTTAAATCAGTCTTGTCAACCATGATTGGTGTGTTTTGTCAATGTATATTCTAACTAAAGTTTCATGTTTTGTAGTGAGGAAGGCAAGGTTAGGAAGGTGTTGAAGGTGGAGCCGCTTCCTGATGGATCTGGCCATTTCTTTAACCTAAGTATATCTCTTTTCCTTTGAATTCTTAGCAGCGTATTTAGGATACTATTCAAGGAAATAGTACGAGAGGAAAAGAAACGCTAGGGAAATGAAGAAAGGAGAGAAAATATTAGAGGAAAATAGAGAGAGGTTTAATGAAACAGTCAAAGTTCATTCACCAATGAAGTCTGAGACCAAAAACAACTTTGATCCAATTTATAAACAGGCCAGAACCCAAATTTAACAAACCCTAATAATAAATGAGGATAAAAGTTCCAACTACTCTTGACAAGACACCTTATATGAAATAAAAAAAAAAAAAGACCTAATTAACTCTACAATCTACATCTAAGCCTGTCATGTCCTTCATCAACTTGCTACTTTTTGATGCATTCATATCAACTTGAAGCTTTAGGATGTTATATATTCCTCATAGAGCCTTTATTCGCAATTATTTTTTGGCCTAGTACAAATAGAAATGTGTCCAATTTTGTACAGTAATATGTCATTTTTGTAAAACAAAGCACGTGTGATATTTTGTTATTAGTTATTCATGATAAATCGATTTGTCACACTCTTTTTACAAATGAAGTAGTCACTGTCTGTTTATCTCATTGACTTTTTTCTAAAATCTGCCTTTAAATTCCTTATTTTGATCATACCCAAACAACTGTTTATACCTTCATCCATTGAATTATATTTCTAGTTGGTGCCAGAAGCTGATAAATTTCACATATTCTGAAGGACACATAAGTTGAATAACAGATTAGGTTAAATCTGTATTTGATAGTTAAATCTATATTTATCTAACATTGCCTCCATTCTGCTGTAACTTGAAGGTGTTCAAAACAAACTTATCAATCTGGATGAGAGCATTTACATTCCTGTTACAAGAGCAGAGTACACGGTCCTTGTCTCAGCATTCAATGTATGATATGCTTCCCTCTGTCTTCTCTCTCTCACTAAGTTGTGTATTTTTGTATGTGTGCTTATTTTTGGGGGCAAGGAAAGATATGGTTTGGCCTGTGATTTAGGAAGCTGTAGAAAATCATGGGACTTTTTTAAAGGATTGACACAAGATCTTATCTACAGTATTCAGTAAACCCTGAGGTTGATCAATTGAGGCATAGTGGAAAAATTAGAAAGTTAAAAAAGCTGGTTGGCTGATACTAATAATAAATGAGAGGAATCTAGCTTGTGTGAAACATAGTTGATTAAGAAAGGAATATAAAGTATAAAACATTACAAGTTTTCTAGTTTAATCAGCATGTGGTGTTGGCAAATGAAGTCTGTCAACAAATTTTCTAGTTATGCTTTTATATTATGAGATTTGAAAAGCTAGTAATGTTGTCCTCTTCTACAAGGAGGCTGATTTGTTGAACAAAAGTAAGATAAATGAGTTCTCCTTGCATTATGGGGTATGGGTCTAGGACTACTGGCATATACTATTTTACTGCTTTGTTGGTTTCAAACACTTCTTTTTCTGTTCTACGTGGACTGTCTTTAATAGATACAAGTATTGAAGAATTTTCCAATACAATCTGACTTGTATTTGTTTCAGTATATCTTGCCATACCTTCTAGGTTGGCATGCCTATGCAAACTCAATAAAACCAGATGATAGCATCCGTGCAAATAATGCAAATCCCAGATATGGAGGAGACTATGAATGGAACCGGTAACGGGCAGGGCAGGGCAGGGCAATGCGGGGGACCTTATATTCTTGGTGCAAGAATATATCCATTTGACCTTGTTAGCCATTCTTTAATGTGTATGGGTTGTTGCTGGATAAATCCTCGTGAAAATTTTGGGTTTGTCCTGCAGTTTCTTGAGGCGAAGAGGCTTATTGATGATCTTTGGTTCTGTAATGATACTATATATTAACAGTTGACAAGTTAGCTAGTTAATAGTTACAAATGGCCTTATGTAAGATTAGTTTATGATTGGGTTTTTATTTTCCAGTATGGACCAAAAAAAAAAAAGAAAAAAATAAAAAATAAAAACTGTCTTGATACAGGCTTGCTTTGTAATAGATTCTTAATCATTTACTTATTGGCTATATTATTTAGGAATGATGTATAAGATTCTTAGTTTAATACTGTAGAAACCAGATGGTGATTGGAAGTTGGAACCATAAAATTAACATGGCTGACCGAAGATAACATGATTTTTTTATATTGGAAGGGCACCCTGTAGATTTACAACAAACAATCCCAGCAAAATGCTGTTAAGCCTTAATTTAACATTGTGATGAGGTTGCTTAGATTCTATGACCTATGAATTCATTTTAAAAGAGCTAGAATTTAATACACATCAATATTGACCTAAGTTAGGCGATAAAAATATGATACGAAAGAAACAGTTCAAATTGATTAATACATCAACGTTGCATTAATTTCATTTAACATCATTTGCTATTTATAAATTCCTAGACTTGGTGCTTATACAAGTGCTGTGGTTAAATATATAATAATATTTTCAAAGTATGGATTTATATAGGCAGGACAAAATATATTAGTTGCTTAAGTTTATTTTAGAGAACAAAAATTAAAGGGCCATCAAGATTGTTAACTGTTACAAATCAAAATTTTCCTTTTATAGTTTTGGAAATTCAATTTTTCTGTAAAACTATGCCATTTTTTATCAAATTGTCCCCGATTGTTTCAAAAACTAATAAAAAATTGACCAAAACCCTAGCATCGTTAAAGCTTTGGTAGGGTACGAAGGATAAAATAATTATTCCTATTTTTTTTTTTTTTATATTTTAATAACCCTAAAATCTTTTTTTCCTCCCCTCTCTCTTATATTTTTTTTTGATAACTGGGTGTCTGCGTGTACACCTCAGCTAACTCCCCCCCCCCTTTTTTTTTTTTACTTTTCTCCCCCGACTCTTTCTTTTCCCTCTCTTTCTCCTTCCTTCCCCACCTTCTACTCTCTCCCAACCACCATGTGCAGTAGCTGTCTCACCCATTCGCAAACCCCTACTACTCTTTACTATATAATCCCAATCGCAAATCGCTGCCACCCAAAGCTGTCAACGCGAGCTCCATGGCTGTTGTCACAACCGTGAGCTTGTTGGGTGCCGTCGGCAACTGCAAGCTCCATGACAGCCACATCTTGATACCTGAAACCATAAAGCTCCTTCGTACTTATGCCAAAAAGTTTTGTTTTTCCTATTTATTTCGAGAATTCAATAGTATCTTAAAAGTTTATATGAAGAATTGCTCTTCCCCTGCAGATGTTTTAACCTTTGATTATATATTTTCTCGATAGGTCTATAATAATAATGAATCAGAAATTAACCTCTATTTTGTTTTGTACGTTATGATGAAGTCATCGTCTTATGTCTAGGGAAAGGATGTACCCATCGAGAGAGAGGTAAAGAAACTGAATCCAACAAACAAGAATGTTTAGATGTTCTTCACGTTAAAAGTTTCAGAATAATTGCATATGAAAAATTTCAGTATTAGTTTGTGTATATAACCTACATTATTAGGACGTTGTTCAGCCGAAATGATCTCATATTCTAAGATTAACGATACATGCAACTTCCATCTTCAAATTGGCATATTAACATATGAGCTCATCTAAACCATGTGTTACATCTTGACACTCGCCACACTAAAAGTCAATATGAAATAAATCTTAGTTTTTTTATTTAATAAAAGTATGGTTAATGCCAAGTGTAGGAACTACCAAATCCAGTTTTTGCCGTTAATTTCTCTACTTAAAGTTGTGACTTGATTGATTTTGATCAACACAATTACAAATTTGCCCGTAGCTATATTTCATACTTGATAATAATTATACCCTTATACTTGATAATTTGCCCGTAGCGATCTTGGAGGTCGCAATTAGGTTGTAAAGTTCTGACTGTAGTTATGGTTTTGGAGTTTGGAGGTCCCAAGTGTCACGACCCTAGAAGAATTGTGCGACCTTAGTGCACAAACACAAGATTGAACACTACGTAAGCCATAAACCCTAAAAAAAGAAATAAAAACCTGATCAAGAGTAGAGATTGAGAGAAAAACTCTATTGCATTGTTCTAACTTGAATACAATGTTTGGAGTGAATGAATTAAATCTAAGACTAGCTAGCTTTATATAGGATTTTACAAATATATTTGGCTATTCAAATCCGTATATATTCATTAAGACTAGAATTAAGTATATAAACAATAAAATCCTAGTCCTACTCTACTACATTTTTAGTGAAAAAATATTCTTTGATGCTTCTGAGTTTAATTTAAGTTAAACCTCTTGAATGGGATATTGGGGCTCGTATGGACTTGAGCTTAGGCCAAACGTGGAATAAGGTAGCGATCTCTAGATGACAGCTAGGATCTAAGAAATGATAGTGGTTATGATTAATTTTATGAAAGTTTTTAGAAATTAATTTACTTGTAAATTTTTTCACCATATAAAATTATAGGTAGAAGATTTAGATTTATCTTATGTTTCATTTGGAAAGAAGACGCTAAGAAATTTAATAATGCACATGAAGAAACTGAAGTAGCTGAACTCGTCTCCCTTAACCTCGGGAGATCTTTTAGTGAGCCTAAGAAAGATGGAAATAATAGCAATTAATTCAACTGAAAATGGGAAGAAACCCAGGTTTGAAGAAGTTATGATGAACGAAGAGTTGAAGACTATGAGAAGTGGGGATGAAGAAGACTTACAACACCCCGACAGTAAGTATTAAAGAGTTTCAATAATAGCTCATAATAATTTATTCTCAATAAAGCAGATGATAGTTATGATTTCTCAAACTTTGATCAAAACCTGATAAGCTTTAAAGAATCTTATAATAAACATATTATCATTATTATTTTTAATATGTAAAGCTTAGGGAGAGTTTGTATATATGTGTAAGGGCATCTCCAACCCACGTCATTTTAGTGTAAAAAACACCAAAATGACGTGGGTTTTTGCTCCAACCCAACACTAATTATTGCGTCAGATTGGTGTGGAGCTACAGTGCTACGCCACTGTAACACCATTAATTTTTTTTTTTAATTAAATTTTGTTAAGTTAATTTGATTATTAAATTTTATACAAAAAATCACACCAAATTTAATTATTTGTATTTGTGTTTAATTTAATTTAATTATTATTTATATTAATATTTATAATAATAAATTCATAAAAATGATATAATTAAAAAAATGATGAAAAATTAAAAACAAAATTTTATTCAATGCAAATATTAAACTACAATAATTCAGAATAAAAATTAACACTAATTTAAAAACCCTAAAATTAAAAGAACAGATGGAAGCACTAACTCCCGAAGTTGAAATTGTCGTAGATGAAAATGTCTGATTTTAAAATTTTCTTGCTCGACATAGATAAATCAAGGATACAGATGCTCACCATGCTCTTCAAAATGCATTAATTGATCATTTGTAGGAAGAATATACTAATTCAGAAAATTAAATTACTATCAATATGGAATTTTACTTTTGATTAAATAAATGCTTAATTTTATTAAAGTAGTATAATTTTCAAAGTAATTATTATTTAATAAAAATATCATTCCTAATATTTAATTAATATATATAATGAGTGAAATAGATTAATTGTTGGTTATTACAATAAAAGAAAAAGAAAGAGAATATTTTTTTTGGTGTAATATTTGGTGCAATGGGTTGGAGATGTAATAGTGTCTTACACCAAAAATCACACCAATTTGGTGCAATGAGTTGGAGATGGTATAACATTATTCATGTTTTATTTACAAATATTAAATGCATTAAATAAATTTCTTATACACTGTAGGATGAGAATCAATATTGATATTATAGTGTATTTTTATTATTGCATGCAATTTCAATCCATTGTTTAAACTTTCGTGCTATTACACGATTAGTTAAACTGTAGATGCTAAAATTTCTCTAGGGTGAGAATTTCTCTAGATATATTAGTTTAATTATAGATGCTGAAATTTCGCTTGGTTGAGAACATGCTTAGGGGTATTACTGCTACATAATGATCCCATGCTAAGAGAATTTATACGAAATTTCAACTAAGAATTTGTCGAATTAATGTTGTGGATATTATACAGATGAATGTGATCACTACCTACCCACAACCATTTCAGCCACGGCCATGGCTTCCACCACTTCTGCCCCTAACTCTACCTCTTTCCTATCTAACCTCCATGGATCCAACTACTCTTTCTCCATATCAATTGTATTTCCATAACTCTGCAACCAACTCTCACCCAACGGTTGTTCTTGCCAAGATTTTCTTCAACAAGTCTCAAATTGTCCACTCCAACATATACTAATTTCTTGGATTCTAATCATGGGACTCTCTCATACAATAAGAACCCTATTGGGTCTTTAAATTTAAATTTTTGGAAAGCAACATATTTCCTAATCAGCGCCTTACATGAACCAGTCCTTAACTGAGACAACGAAGGTTATCACATCAAATCCGAATTTCCAATCCCCACATATATTGGTAATGGAGGCAGCAAAGCTCGTCAAAATCAGAGTGCAGGTGATAATTGTGGATTGAACTTGAAGTGGAGTGAATCTTTTCCAGTGACAAATGCCAACAATGGAAACGGAAGAGTGTCTACGTTCCCCTGTCCAGTACTGCCATTTTCTACATCTAAGAGTGTTTCAGGCTCACCATAGTAAGGACCATTTCAAATGAAATATAGCTAGTGATCGAGAATATTATTAACAATCGAAATTATCGATCTTGTTTTGGTAGTTTTCATATCAAGAAGTAAGGTAAGGAATAACAATACAGGTTTCCTGGATTTTTCAACTTATCATTTCGGATGAATTTAATTAATGTGATAGATGCAACGTCAAACCGAACCAATTGGCTGTTTACACATGGTTGTCCCAATATCTGAAACGTGTCCATTTTTCCTGCACGTGGCAAAGCCAGCACTTATGCATATTTAAAGACACCATATCCATAACTGATACTTCCATATTAGAAATCTCAATCTCCAGTTGATCATCAACTTCTACAGGTACGTAAAATACTCAACTATGGATCTAAATTGTCTTGATTATTATCATTTAATATTATTCGGTTTGTGGTTTTGATTTTTGGCGTCTTCATGAATCATGGGTCTCAGTTTGTTGTAAAAGCTTTTGTTTTCAAGAATTATTGACGTAAATTATAGAAATTAAAACGTTGGACATATATGAATTATTGTCATAAAAAGAGATGCAATTGATTTAAATAACAAATTTGTTATATTATAGGCATGGCTCAAGCTGAAGAAGTCAAGGAAACTTCAAATATTTCTAGCTTTGATAAATATTTTGAGATGATACAGTCGAGGAAGAAATTACCACTTGCATTACAGGAGACTTTAACAGCTGCATTTTTAAAGATTCCAGTTTCATCTTTCCCACAAGTTTCAGGAGGCAAAGGTGACCGCAATTACTTTATGGCTTTAATTCTATCGAGTTAATCCACCAGCTATAACGGACTGTAACTTTTCAGTGATTGAGATCATGGCGGACACTTCTATTACTGATGCTGTCAAGATTCTATCAGGATACAACATTCTATCTGCTCCAGTCAAAAATCCAGATGCAGGTACAGATACAGATTGGAGACACCGGTACCTTGGAATCATAGATTACTCAGCAATTATACTCTGGGTTCTAGAGACTACGGAACTTGCAGCTGTTGCTTTATCAGCCACCAATGCAACTGCGGCTAGTGTGGGTGCTGGAGCAGCCGGTACTCTCGGAGCACTAGCATTGGGCATGACAGTTCCTGCTGCAGTTGCTGGACTAACTTTTGCTGCAGCAGGAGCTGCTGTGGTTGGTGTAGCTGCAGATACAGAGAAAGGAAAAGATGCTCCTACAGCTGCTGATAATCTTGGTGAAGATTTTTACAAAGTTATCCTTCAAGAAGAGCCATTCAAGTCAACCACTGTAAGCTTAATTCTGCAAAGAGGTCATATACAGGGTTCAGGTTGCCTATGGTACCCCATACATAGTGTCTAGCTCCTTTGAAATATTCGTTTCATTCGTATCTACCAAAAATTTGGAACTAAGCAATATGATTGGCACTTAAATATTGAATTATAAGATAGAACCCACTCTATAAAATGAGGAACAGACACTGCTATCCTCTCTTTTAGCTGTCTCAAAAGCATGGACTGAAATGATGCTAAATATTATTTACTTGCAGGTAAGGTCAATACTGAAGTACTACCGCTGGGCACCTTTCCTTCCAGTTGCTAAAGACAGTTCTATGTTGAGTGTCCTATTGTTACTTTCAAAATATAAGCTGAAAAACGTACCTGTAATCGAACGAGGCAAGCCTGATATCAACAACTACATTACTCAATCTGCAGTTGTACAGGGTCTGGAAGGATGCAAAGGAAGGGATTGGTTTGACTGCATTGCTGCACAGTCTATTGCAGATCTAGGACTTCCTTTTATATCTTCTCATGAGGTGAAGATTCGATGGTTACTTTAGAATATATGCTACCTCAGCAGACTTTTCAAATTTGCTATTTTGTTCGCCAGGTAATCAGCATCCAGAGCAATGAACTGGTTCTTGAAGCCTTTAAGCGAATGAAAGAGAATCAAATCGGTGGTATTCCAGTTGTGGAGGGACCAAAGAAGAAGATTGTCGGGAATGTAAGCATAAGAGATATCAGACACCTGCTGCTTCAACTAGAACTGTTCTCCAATTTCAGGTAAGATGCAATGCTTTTGCGCGATAAGACCAATCTGAAAAATAATTAAATTTTTATTAATCTCCATTTGAAATGTTGAATAATCCAATGGTTTTCATGGTAAACTACTTTGTAGAACATGAATGAGAATGGATATTCATTTAGGAGGACTGTGATCAAGATATTTGTGAGACTGCAGAATAAAAATTAAAAATTAAAAAAAAATTTACATACAGCAAATCATTGATAACCTTGAAGCAGAACCTTAAACCTGTTATATCTAAGTCAACTTAGAAGAAACATGTTCCATGCAATCTTGATGGCTTAACTAAAGTTTTCTCTGCTATTTTTCTTACTTCCAGGCAGCCCACTGTCAGAGATTTCATGAATACTATCGTTTCAACAACCCAAGATTTTGGCAGAGTATTCCCACCAATAACATGCAAGCTGGATTCAACCCTCGGCAGTGTGATCCAGACTCTTGCTTCCAAGTCTGTTCACAGAGTCTATGTAGTAGCTGACAAGGAAGATGAACTTGCTGGTGTAATTACCCTAAGAGATGTGATCTCTTGCTTCATATTTGAGCCTCCTAATCATTTCGACGACCATTTTGGGTTTTCAGCCAAAGAAATGTTGAGTCAATGATAGTTTTGTTGTTAAAATCTATAACCTCATGAGCGGACACCAGATATTACTCAAATGAAGTTCTTATTTCCTGTAGTTCTTTTTTTTCAAGTAACTCCAATTGAAATTCCAGGGAGTTTCCTCAATGCTCTATCATTTACCATTTGTCTAGTCCTTTCCACATTCTCCCACCTTTGCAACCCAGCATATATATTGGATAGAACCACGAAAGGAGTTGGGTTTTCTGGCTCCAACTCCGAAAGCTTCATCGCAGTTTCTTCTCCGAGCTTGGAATTCATGTGAGACCAACAAGCACCAAGCAGAGAATAGAAAATAGAAGCAGAAGGCTCTGATAATTCTTGTATTAGTTCTTCAGCTTCATCTAGCCTTCCAGAACGACCTAAAAGGTCAATTAGACAACCAACATGCTCTGGATTTGGGTTGATACCATAATCATCGCTCATCATTCTAAACACTTGCAGTCCCTTTTCAACTTGACCAGTATGACTGCATGCAGACAGAATACTAACAAAAGTTGCTGAATTTGGCTTTACCTTTTCCTCCTGCATTAGGTCAAAAATTTCAACCGCAGACTCAAACTCTCCATTTCTTCCATATCCAGACACCATGGCATTCCAAAATGCAGGATCATCAGGTTTTATCTTAATTTGATCAAAAACTCTTCGTGCCGCAGAGGGAAACCCACATTTCATGTACATGAAAATAAGTGCCGTACACAAGAAGTCATCATCACCAATATCAGTTCTAATAAAATGCCCATGAATCTCTTTTCCGCACTTCAGAGCAGCCATGTCTGCACAAGCTGATAAAAGACTTGTAACACATTTTGAACTCGGTACTTCACCAGCTAATTGCATTTTCTTAAAGTATGTAAAAGCTTCAAATCCCTTCCCTAATTGAGCGAACCCACTAATTATGGAATTCCATGTTGCTGAATCAGGCTCAAGTCCTTCATATTCTAACTGTTCAAACAACTCAATGGCCTTCTCAGTCTGATTATTTAGCATCATCCCAGCAATCATCGAATTCCATGTAATAAAATTCCTGCGTCCATTTAGTTCTTTAAATACATCATAAGCCCAGCGCACACGACCACATTTTGAATACATGTCAATAAGTGCAGTACCAACCATAGTATCAAATTCCATCTCCAATTTCACTATAAGTCCATGAATCTGCCTACCAAGCTGGAGATTAAGAAGACTTACACAAGCCGAAATAACCGAAGTAAGAGAAACTGAATTAGGTTCTTCACTTAAACACTCCCTCATCTCCCTGAACACATCTAACGCCTCTCGTGGAACCCCATTATGCAGAAGCCCAGTAACAAAAGCATTATAGCTCACAACATTCTTATTACGCATATCTCCAAACAATCTTGTAGCCAAACCTATTTCTTTACAGTTCGAATACATAGTCAACAATGCAGTTGCCACATATATATCCATATCTACACCTAACTTTATTGCCAAACAATGCATTTGCGTGCCATCTTCAACACTGTCACAGCCAGACAAAACACTTGCTACAGTAACCGCATTGGGCCTAAACAATCCAAGGAGCGTTTCTTTGAAAACCCTCATACCTTCTCTGGAATACCCATTTTGTGAATATCCAGAAATCACAGCGTTCAATGAGGCCAAGTTTCGCTGTGGCATTTCGTCGAACGCCTTAAGAGCATCACCAAGTAAATTAAGTTTCATATACATGTCGCCGAGAGCTGTAGCTGAATAAACGTCTACCGAAAACCCGGTTTTGATGAGATGGGTATGGAGGATTCGGCCTTGAATTGGTGATTGGAGCTTGGCACAGACTTTGAGCAGAGGAGGGAAAGTGAAGTTTTGCGGAGGCAACGAGGCAGAGTGGTGTTGTGCGTACAAATAAAGTGCTTCTTTGTAGAAGCCATTCTTGACCAGATTGGGTATTTGGTGTTTCATTGGATGGTAGGGGAGCCGCGGAGGGCATGAGCTTGGTCGTGTTACTGAATCAATGTTGGCAATTCATACTGTGAGTTATACGAAGTCGAAGTTTGACTGCACGTAAATGTTTGGGCCTTAAGAATCGGAAATAATTACATTTTGGCCCCTGCGTCGATCCCTCTTGGTTGCTAATAGAAGTGACCACTGTCATTAACTTCAGGGTTTCGAAGGATTAATTGAAGTGGGCACAAATTGACCTGAACACCCCTGATTACCGGAAAAAAAGTATAAGTGTATGCAGACATTACCATGCACAAACTAGAGTACACAAATCCTAATTTCAACTCATCGGAGTTTATCCTTTATTCCAGGGAGGATTTTGGATATTTTGCAAACATTTGTTTTAAATCCTTCGGTGACCGAGTGAAATATTGGGTCACCTTCAATGAGCCAAACTATCAGGTCATCCTTGGTTATCGTTTAGGTGAATATCCTCCATCTCATTGCTCAAGGGCATTTGGAATTTGCAGTCGGGCAATTCAGAGATGAAGCCTTTCATTGCAGCTCAAAATGTTATCCTATCACATGCTACTGCAATTCATATATACAGAACCAAATACTAGGTAATAACAGTAACAATATACAATGAAAAGAGTAATAGTTTTATTTTCTAAAAGTTTCTGGATGAGAGGATAGGAGTAGACTTAACAGTAGCAGTGAAACTCTAGAGAGAGCAAGGAGGTAGCATTGGGATTGTTTTGCACGCCGCATGGTTTGAATCTGTTGATGCTTGATTTTGACACCAACAACTCGCACGTGCAAAGTGCTAAGAGAGTCTTAGAAATTACATGTGATGGATTCATAAGATTTGAATATGGTGCTGAGATTATATATGTTTGCCGAAAACATAAATAAAAGATTGGCAAGAGAGGTTTTTAAAGTGGTTCGGATGCTTAAAGCGAATCCGACATCCACTGTTATTTTGCTATTCTCTGACTATTTCTATGATATTGCCCGTAAGACATACAAAGATGGAGAAACATTTTGTTTATAGAGAAAAATAATAAAACTCAAATCTATGCGTAGCTCTCATATGCCCAACCTCTTCTTTTCGTGAAGAGAAGTGTCAATTTATACACCTTTGAGGTCAATGTAATGAGTGCTTTTGCAAATTGCCTTCACACATAGAGAGTTCTTATTCGTCCTTATCTTAAAATGAGATAGGGTTGGTATAAAATATCTCTGAGGTGGTATGAGCTTGACAACTAGTACACTTTGTCTTTTAGGCATTTGTTGAGCTGACATCAGCGTGAATTTTTTAGGCATAACAGAACCCCCCCCCCCCAGTGCGGACTGTGATCAAGATATTTGTGAGACTGCAGAATAAAAATGAAAAATTAAAAAAAATTTAAATACAGCAAATCATTGATAACCTTGAAGCAGAACCCTAAACCTGGCATATCTAAGTCAACTTAGAAGAAACATGTTCCATGCAATCTTGATGGCTTAACTAAAGTTTTCTCTGCTATTTTTCTTACTTCCAGGCAGCCCACTGTCAGAGATTTCATGAATACTATCGTTTCAACAACCCAAGATTTTGGCAGAGTCTTCCCACCAATAACATGCAAGCTGGATTCAACCCTCGGCAGTGTGATCCAGACTCTTGCTTCCAAGTCTGTTCACAGAGTCTATGTAGTAGCTGACAAGGAAGATGAACTTGCTGGTGTAATTACCCTAAGAGATGTGATCTCTTGCTTCATATTTGAGCCTCCTAATCATTTCGACGACCATTTTGGGTTTTCAGCCAAAGAAATGTTGAGTCAATGATAGTTTTGTTGTTAAAATCTATAACCTCATGAGCGGACACCAGATATTACTCAAATGAAGTTCTTATTTCCTGTAGTTCTTTTTTTTCAAGTAACTCCAATTGAAATTCCAGGGAGTTTCCTCAATGCTCTATCATTTACCATTTGTCTAGTCCTTTCCACATTCTCCCACCTTTGCAACCCAGCATATATATTGGATAGAACCACGAAAGGAGTTGGGTTTTCTGGCTCCAACTCCGAAAGCTTCATCGCAGTTTCTTCTCCGAGCTTGGAATTCATGTGAGACCAACAAGCACCAAGCAGAGAATAGAAAATAGAAGCAGAAGGCTCTGATAATTCTTGTATTAGTTCTTCAGCTTCATCTAGCCTTCCAGAACGACCTAAAAGGTCAATTAGACAACCAACATGCTCTGGATTTGGGTTGATACCATAATCATCGCTCATCATTCTAAACACTTGCAGTCCCTTTTCAACTTGACCAGTATGACTGCATGCAGACAGAATACTAACAAAAGTTGCTGAATTTGGCTTTACCTTTTCCTCCTGCATTAGGTCAAAAATTTCAACCGCAGACTCAAACTCTCCATTTCTTCCATATCCAGACACCATGGCATTCCAAAATGCAGGATCATCAGGTTTTATCTTAATTTGATCAAAAACTCTTCGTGCCGCAGAGGGAAACCCACATTTCATGTACATGAAAATAAGTGCCGTACACAAGAAGTCATCATCACCAATATCAGTTCTAATAAAATGCCCATGAATCTCTTTTCCGCACTTCAGAGCAGCCATGTCTGCACAAGCTGATAAAAGACTTGTAACACATTTTGAACTCGGTACTTCACCAGCTAATTGCATTTTCTTAAAGTATGTAAAAGCTTCAAATCCCTTCCCTAATTGAGCGAACCCACTAATTATGGAATTCCATGTTGCTGAATCAGGCTCAAGTCCTTCATATTCTAACTGTTCAAACAACTCAATGGCCTTCTCAGTCTGATTATTTAGCATCATCCCAGCAATCATCGAATTCCATGTAATAAAATTCCTGCGTCCATTTAGTTCTTTAAATACATCATAAGCCCAGCGCACACGACCACATTTTGAATACATGTCAATAAGTGCAGTACCAACCATAGTATCAAATTCCATCTCCAATTTCACTATAAGTCCATGAATCTGCCTACCAAGCTGGAGATTAAGAAGACTTACACAAGCCGAAATAACCGAAGTAAGAGAAACTGAATTAGGTTCTTCACTTAAACACTCCCTCATCTCCCTGAACACATCTAACGCCTCTCGTGGAACCCCATTATGCAGAAGCCCAGTAACAAAAGCATTATAGCTCACAACATTCTTATTACGCATATCTCCAAACAATCTTGTAGCCAAACCTATTTCTTTACAGTTCGAATACATAGTCAACAATGCAGTTGCCACATATATATCCATATCTACACCTAACTTTATTGCCAAACAATGCATTTGCGTGCCATCTTCAACACTGTCACAGCCAGACAAAACACTTGCTACAGTAACCGCATTGGGCCTAAACAATCCAAGGAGCGTTTCTTTGAAAACCCTCATACCTTCTCTGGAATACCCATTTTGTGAATATCCAGAAATCACAGCGTTCAATGAGGCCAAGTTTCGCTGTGGCATTTCGTCGAACGCCTTAAGAGCATCACCAAGTAAATTAAGTTTCATATACATGTCGCCGAGAGCTGTAGCTGAATAAACGTCTACCGAAAACCCGGTTTTGATGAGATGGGTATGGAGGATTCGGCCTTGAATTGGTGATTGGAGCTTGGCACAGACTTTGAGCAGAGGAGGGAAAGTGAAGTTGTGCGGAGGCAACGAGGCAGAGTGGTGTTGTGCGTACAAATAAAGTGCTTCTTTGTAGAAGCCATTCTTGACCAGATTGGGTATTTGGTGTTTCATTGGATGGCAGGGGAGCCGCGGAGGGCATGAGCTTGGTCGTGTTACTGAATCAATGTTGGCAATTCATATTGTGAGTTATACGAAGTCGAAGTTTGACTGCAAGTAAATGTTTGGGCCTTAAGAATCGGATATAATTACATTTTGGCCCCTGCGTAGCCAGGTGGTGCGATAACGACTTTTGAGTGTATTATTCAAGAGGTTTTGAATTCGATTTCTCTTCGTTGCTAATAGAAATGACCACTATCGTTAACTTCAGGGTTTCGAAGGACCACTTGAAGTGGGTGCAAATTGACCTGAACACCCCCTATTACCGGAAAAAAAGTATAAGTATATGCAGACATTACCATGCACAAACTAGAGTACACAAATCCTAATTTCAACTCATCGGAGTTTATCCTTTATTCCAGGGAGGATTTTGGATATTTTGCAAACATTTGTTTTAAATCCTTCGGTCATCCTTGGTTATCGTTTAGGTGAATATCCTCCATCTCATTGCTCAAGAGCATTTGGAAATTGCAGTCGGGGCAATTCAGAGATGGAGCCTTTCATTGCAGCTCAAAATTTTATCCTATCACATGCTACTGTAGTTCATATATACAGAAGCAAATACTCGGTAATAACAGTAACGATATACAATGAAAAGAGTAATAGTTTTATTTTCTAAAAGTTTCTGGATGAGAGGATAGGAGTAGACTTAACAGTATCAGTGAAACTTTAGAAAGAGCAAGGAGGTAGCATTGGGATTGTTTTGCACGCAGCATGGTTTGAATCTGTTGATGCTTGATTTTGACACCAATGACTTGCACGTGCAAAGTGTTAAGACCCAACAACTCCACTTCCCATTTCAGCCACGGCCATGGCTTCCACCACTTCTGCTGCGCTTCAAATGTTACAATACTTTCCAACCCTAACTCTACTCTTCCTATCTAACTCCATGGATCCAACTACTCTTTCTCCCAAAGTGAAAGACCATATCAATTAAATTCTGCAAACAACTCTCACCAACGGTGTTCTTGATTCACCACCTTCTCTCATTTAAATAGACTTAATCTTCAACAAGTCTCAATTGTCCACTCAGCATACTAATTTCTTGGATTCTAATCATGGGACTCTTTCGTACAATAGAACCCTATTGGGTCTTTAAATTTATTTTTGGAAAGCAACATATTTCCCAATCAGCGCCTTACATGAACAATCTTCAGCAGTCTTAACTGAGACAGCGAAAGTTATCACATCAAATCCGAATTTCCAATCGGCTGCAATCACCACATATATTGGTAATGGAGGCAGTAAAGCTCGTCAAAATCAGAGTGCAGGTGATAATTGGGATTGAACATGAAGGGAGTGAATCTTTTCCAGTGACAACTGCCAACAATGGAAACGGAAGAGTCTCTTACGTTCCCCTGTCGGTACTGCCATTTTCTACATCTAAAAGAGTGTTTCAGGCTCACCATAGTAAGGACCATTTCAAATGAAGTATAGCTAGTGATCGAGAATATTATTAACAATCGAAATTATCGATCTGTGTTTGGTAGTTTCATATGAAGAAGTAGGTAAGGAATGGTTCCTGGATTTTTCAACTTATCATTCGGATGAATTAATAATGTGATAGCACATACAGATTCAACATCAAACCGAACCCAATTGGCTGTTTACACATGGTTGTCCAATATCTGAAACGTGTCCATTTTCCTGCACGTGGCAAAGCCAGCACTTATGCTATTTAAAGACACCTATCCATAAATGATACTTCCATATTAGAAATCTCAATTCAAGTTGATCATCAACTTCTACAGGTACGTAAAATGCTCAAATGGATCTAAATTGTCTTGATATTATCATTTAAATTATTCAGTTGTGGTTTGATTGTTTGGCGCCTGCATGAATATCGGGTCTCAGTTTGTTGTAAAAGCTTTGTTTTCAAGAATTATTGAAGTAAATTATAGAAATAAGACGTTACATATATGAATATTGTCATGAAAAGAGATGCAATGATTTAAATAACAAATGTGTATATTATAGGCATGGCTCAAGCTGAGACGGTCAAGGAAACTTCAAATATTTCAGCTTTGATAAATATTTTGAGATGATACAGTCGAGGAAGAAATTACCACTTGCATTACAGGAGACTTTAACAGCTGCATTTTAAAGATTCCAGTTCTTCTTTCCCACAAGTTTCAGGAGGCAAAGGTGACCGCATTACTTTATGGCTTTAATTCTATCTAGTTAATCCATCAGCTATAACGGACTGTAATTTTCAGTGATTGAGATCATGGCGGAACTTCTATTACTGATGCTGTCAAGATTCTATCAGGATACAACATTCTATCTGCTCCAGTCAAAAATCCAGATGCAGGTACAGATACAGATGGAGACCACCGGTACCTTGGAATATAGATTACTCAGCAATTATACCCTGGGTTCTAGAGACTGCGGAACTTGCAGCTGTTGCTTTATCAGCCACCAATGCAACTGCGGCTAGGGTGGGTGCTGGAGCAGCCGGTGCTCTCGGAGCACTAGCATTTGGCAGACAGTTCCTGCTGCAGTTGCTGGACTAACACTTTTGCTGCAGCAGGAGCTGCTGGGGTTGGTTGTAGCTGCAGATACAGAGAAAGGAAAAGATGCTCCTACAGCTGAGCTGATAGCTTGGTGAAGATTTTTACAAAGTTATCCTTCAAGAAGAGCCATTCAAGTCAACCACTGTAAGCTTAATTCGCAAAGAGGTCATATACAGGTTCAGGTTGCCTATGGTACCCCATACATAGTGTCTAGCTCCTTTGAAATATTCGTTTCATTCGTATCTACAAAAATTTGGAAATAAGCAATATGATTGGCACTTAAATATTATTATAAGATAGAACCCACTCTATAAAATGAGGAAACAGACACTGCATCCTCTCTTTAGCTGTCTCAAAAGCATGGACTGAAATGATGCTAAATATTATTCTTGCAGGTAAGGTCAATATGAAGTACTACCGTGGGCAACTTTCCTTCCAGGTGCTAAAGACAGTTCTATGTGAGTGTCCTATTGCTACTTTCAAAATATAAGCCTGAAAAACGTACCTGTAATCGAACGAGGAAGCCTGATATCAAGAACTACATTACTCAATCTGCAGTTGTACAGGGTCTGGAAGGATGCAAAGGAAGGGATGGTTTGACTGCATTGCTGCACAGTCTATTGCAATCTAGATTCCTTTTATATCTTCTCATGAGGTGAAGATTCGATGGTTACTTTAGAATATATGCTACCTCAGCAGACTTTCAAATTTGCTACTTTGTCGCCAGGTAATCAGCATCCAGAGCAAATGAACTGGTTCTTGAAGCTTTAAGCGTATGAAAGAGAATCAAATCGGTGGTATCCAGTTGTGGAGGGACCAAAGAAGAAGATTGTCGGAATGTAAGCATAAGAGATATCAGACACCTGCTGCTTCACTAGAACTGTTCTCCAATTTCAGGTAAGAGGCATGCTTTTGCGCGATAAGACCACTGAAAAATAATTAAATTTTTATTAATCTCCATTTGAAATGTTGAATAATCCAATGGTTTTCATGGTAAACTACTTTGTAGAACATGAATGAGAATGGATATTCATTAGGAGGACTGTGATCAAGATATTTGTGAGACTGCAGAATAAAATTAAAATTAAAAAAAAATTACATACAGCAAATCATGATAACTTGAAAGCAGAACCTTAAACCTGTTAATCTAAGTAACTTAGAAGAAACATGTCATGCAATCTTGATGGCTTAACTAAAGTTTTCTCTGCTATTTTCTTACTTCCAGCAGCCCACTGTCGAGATTTCATGATACTATCGTTTCAAACAACCCAAGATTTTGGCAGAGTATTCCACCAATAACATGCAAGGTGGATTCAACAACCTCGGCAGTGTGATCCAGACTCTTGCTCAAGTTGTTCAGAGTCTATGGAGTAGCTGACAAGAAGAGGAACTTGCTGGGTAATACCTAAGAGATGTGATCTCTTGCTTTTGAGCCTCCTAATCATTTCGACGACCATTTTGGGTTTCAGCGCAAAGAAATGTTGAGTCAATGATAGTTTTGTTGTTAAAAATCTATAAACTCCTGAGCGGACTACCAGATATTACTCAAATGAAGTTCTTATTTCGTGTAGTTCTTTTTTTCAAGTAATCCAATTGAAAATTCAGGGAGTTTCCAATGCTCTATTTACCATTTGTCTAGTCCTTTCCACATTCTCCCACCTTTGCAACCCAGCATATATATTGGATAGAACCACGAAAAGGGAGTGGGTTTTCTGCTCCAAAATCCGAAAGATTCATCGCAGTTTCTTCTCGAGCTTGAATTCATGTGAGACCAACAAGCACTAGCAGGAGAGAATAGAAACATAGAAGCGAAGGCCTTGATAATATGATTAGTTACGTGGGTTTAGATCTTCAAATTGGCATATTAACATATGAGCTCATCTAAACCACGTGTTAGATCTTGACACTAGCCACACTGAAAGTCAATATGAAATAAATCTTAATTTTTTTATTGAATAAAAGTAGGGTTAATGCCAACCACAATCCATAAAACTCGAAAAACTGATCAACCTCATAAAGTGTAGGAACTACCAAATCCAGTTTTTGCCGTTAATTTCTCTACTTAAAGTTGTGACTTGATTGATTTTGATCAACACAATTACAAAATTTCCCGTAGCTATATTTCATACTTGATAATTATAATTGAAACACACACACATATATTCAAATTCCTTTATTTTTAAATTCATGTAAGCTGTGAAAAAAATAAAAAAATTCTTTGAAAAGTGGTATATAATCAGATCTTTGTAATTTCTTTAATTTTAAAATTTTATAAAGCGCATAATACTAATAAAACTTAAAACTAATGCAAAAAGAAAATCCTTAACAACAAATATAAATTATTAAATTATATTTTTTTTAATAATAAAGGATTTAAAAAATTGGAAAATGGCGAAGGCAATTTATAGATCTCTATTACGACGTCTTGATTATGATGCGATTAAGGAGGCCTCAAAGTAAGGGTCTTCAAATCGTGACTATGATGTGCAAGATCACAAGTTCCTTGCAATCACCAAGCGATCTTGGA